AAAAAAAAAAAAAAAAAAAAAAAAAAAAAAAAAAAAAAAAAAAAAAAAAAAAAAAAAAAACTCAAATTTTCATTATAACAAAAATATATTAATATTCATTTCAGATTTGAGCAGTGCCCAAGTGAGCAAATTGGTCCGTTACTAAAAAAAACAATTAAAAAATTTTCAAATGTCAACCACGCAGAATCCAAATTTTTAGGCCAACAAAAACTCAAAATTCGATACAATAATAAATCCGCTTAGCATTCTAACAACAAAATTATAAGCTTAGACCTTAAATTTTCATATTATATCGAACAAGTCCCAGAAGGAAGCTTATTCGACGAGTGCCTTAAATGAAATGATGTTGGTTCAAGAATGAGCGGTCAAAAGGGTTTTACCTCGAATGTGCAAAGGAAGCCTTCCTCGGTCGCTTCATCCGAATGCAATAGTGAAAATGTGCACAATAGGCATAATCATCGTCATCTTCATTCAAACATAGAAGAGCCTGCAAACATTTTGAGTTCAAATATGCAGAACAAACCAAGGCAACATTTATTCACAAACAGACCTTCCAAGTAAAGAAAAGGAGGTATAAACAAGCCAACCGAACTGCAAGGACACAGGCGTTTCAGCCTTTCACCCATCACAATTCTGTGATGTTTCTGTAAAGCTTTACATATCATGCAGGGAACACAGCTACATAATGAAGCTAACCAAAAAGAATGAACGAACGTACAGGAATGATGCCCTTAACGGTATATTGGTATGAAGGTGTGTCTGTCCTCAAAGGTTTACAATATGAAGTGGAGAGAAAGAGATGAATACAACCGGACCATGAAATTCATAAGACTGATGCAGAAAAAATTAAACAAAAATATGAATGGATAAAGTCCTTAAATAGAACAACTGCTAAAGGAAGTAGAAGTTCATAGAGTAGCACAAGGGTGACTATAAGCGGGGCATAACAAGGAGGCAAACAACTCCCTGTGTGTACTCACTCATTCATCCATTTTCAACATCCCAGAACCACAGGGCTGGGCATTTATCTTCGAACCGACCCAGCTGTTTGATGAATGAATGACAGTACTTAAATGGATGCCTCCTCCAGCTTTCCACCATGACAAAATGAGATGTACCGACTTCATGTTGCTAATGCAATAGTTAGCAATGCTTTCATGATGATGATGCAAGAGTTAGTGACAACTGGGAGTGAACAGCTTCTTTTGACTATAAGTGACGACGACTCGTAAGATGCAATCTTGGACCCCGACTCAACACACCCAAATGCATGCAAGGACTCCAAATATGAATAGAATATGCCAACTAGCAAAATCCTCAAATAGAAATAGCACGGCTGATGGCCAATTTGGCCCATTCAGCAGATTCTTTAATCAAATGGTCATCTGAGGACAAGCATTCACTTAAAAAGTCTTTGCTTGAGACAGATTGCTGAATCAAAGAACCAGCATTGCTTCCCAGCGTGTCTGCTAGGTCTCCAAGGACACCGATGGCAGTTTTCATCACGACCTCATCCCTACAAAAATAGTCCAGCAATCAACAAACATAAACAAAACTTCAATCCAAATACAGAGACAGAGATCGGCAAAGAACTCACATGTCTTTCCCCATGTATATACTATCCAAAAACTGGAGTATATGAGGAGCGTAAGGGATCAAGAGCTGAGTTTTTGGAGAACTCTTGAAACCTTGGAAGATCCCTGAATACGCCTCCAAAATGCCATTTCTCAAGGAGTTGGTGTACTCAGTCATTTCATCATCAGCACCTGCAGTATGTGCGGACAACTCTGCTGCCCGCTGGAGCATTGGCATGGCATACATCAAGTACTTCTCAAAACTCTCCCCTATAGCAAGTGCTATATCACCGAAGCATGAGAAAATAGGGGGTTTCACAGAGCGATGCAATTGATCACTAGACAAATTCTTAAGCAGCTGAGTCATAATCCCATCACAGTAAGGCAAAATCTTATCTTCCAAAGCCCTGCATACGTCCCCTACAACACCAACAGTGACGGCACAAACTTGGTACTCTTCAAAATTCTGAAGCCCCATTTCAATATATTTATAGAACTCAGTCATGTATTTAGCAAAATCAGGGCCTGTTGCATAAGCAAGGGCACCAATGGCCAGCATTGCCTCCTCATGAACCGTAGCATTTCTACAAGCAAAAACCCTAAGGAAAAGACCCATCATATTATCTGCATACTGCATGAACATATACTTGGTTGGCTCTGCTGAACCTAGCTTCTGAATAAGAACTTGTAGACATCCACAAAGCAGGCCCTGCAATTCACCTTGTTTCTCCCTTTCATCAGACGAAAGTTTTTGTCCCTCAAGAGTATTGTGCAACTCCATCATGATGACCGGTACAAGTTGCAGCACCATTGAGGCCATCTCATCAGTTGCGCACCTCACAACCTCATTCAATGTTTCATATGCAGCAGTCCTCAAACGTGATTCACCAGCATCTTCTCTGTGAGTAACAGAGAGGAGGGTCTGAACAATTTCTTGGAAATAGGGAGTTAAAGGAGATGATACACCAACATCTTCAAAACCCTGAGCAAGAAAATAGAGAGCACCACAGGCTTTCTCTGCGACATTTGGAACATCTTTCATGCTCTGGAGCAAAACTGTTATGATCTGTTGACAATTTGCCTGATTAATTATGGGTGTATCCACATTTGAACCGTGAAGGAATTCAAATATCCGTCCAAGGGTCCATGCAGTTGTGTCCTTCACGTGGTTATTAGGGTCTTGTGTTAAGGCAGTCAACATAAATGTCAAGGCTACATTAACAATTGGCATTAACTTTTCTGGGGCAGGTCCTTCCAGAATGGAACCAAATGCATAAGTTGCTGCCTCCCTCTGCCTCCAATCAGATTTTGTAATGTTCTCTTCAATGAATGGCATAACAAGTGGGACAATGTCATCTCCAACAGTTCGTGCAACCAGCCCAAGACATGTACCCCCAGCCATGGCAATATTCCAAGCCCCTTCATCTTGATCTTGATCCTCTTCTTGCTTGAGAAGTGTCTCAAGCAACATGGGCACAAGAGCAGGGAGTGCCTGCTTAATAAAATAAAAGCATGGAATATCAGAATCTCCAGTAAAATCATCACCATATTCTTCCAAGATGTCAATCTCCTCGTCACAAATAGAACTCCAGAACTCAATAGCTTGAAGAGCAACAGGTTCTTCATCTTCTCTAACAGCCTTTGCAGTAATGCCAAAAATATCCTGGATGTACCTAGCTAATTTGTCATAGTATGCCGAAGCAATAGATACCAAGCACTCAAAAGCTGCTTGTCTTATCTTCACTTCGGGAGATAGTGTGGCCTCACAAACAACTCTCATGATATAATCACGCTCCATATCATTGCTAAAGTTTGCCTGAGCAAATCCTAAAGCATTATACAAAGATCGAGTGGCAGCAAGTCGGACATCATTGTTCCCTTCTGCTGAATTCATACCCTGCACAACAGCTGTCAATATCTTGTTCACTTGATCTTGATCTATCACATCCGGAGAAACTTCCTCACACAAATAACCAAGGGTCTCCAAGGTGGCTTGTTTGACATGAGTTGATGGCTGATTGACATTCAACAAAAGTGAACCTATCAATTCAGGCCACTGCTTATGAGGCAACTCAATGCCTGCAATTTTAGCAATAACTTGGGATGCTGTTGACCTAGCATCAGCCACAGGTGAAGAAAGAGTACTCAACAAACATGTCTTTATCTGGGCTTTGGCGTTGCCGTCCAATGCCAACCATCTTTGGACAAGCTCAAACTTCCTATGCTGTTCCTTAGCATCCAAGGCATTCTTAAGTATCAAACCAGCTAATTTACGGCTATCAACTGGCTTCTCTTCATTCGCTAGTTCACCAGAGAGAGATAACAAGAAACTGGAGAGGTTCTGCTCTTGGAATTGCCTCAAACTATCTTCTGCCTGCTTCCTCACAGACGCATCAATTGCCTGAGCATTCAGAAGCACCTGTGTAACTTCCATTGCCATATTTCACCTAAACACATGAAAAAAAAAAAATCGCCGGTCAATCATTAGTTCTAAAAAGTACCCACTCACAAATCACTTCAAACCTCGCAATCTGATCTAGTCCAGAATCCAGAAGTCTAAAGAAATTCCTAGCCTCGTTAAGAAAACCGTACAAAAAACAGCATCGAAAACCTCAATAATACAGAGGAACCATCAAAAACCCTAGTCAAACATCAACTGATCTAACAAGAACCCCACTCTTACTCCAACTAACGTAAAGCTAAAGCCATGCCGGAGACCCGGACCATACAAAACACGGCAAGAAATTTCCACAGGATCGAAATGAACTCTCAACGAAATCATACACACGACACTCTAAAACAAATTCCACCCCTTCCGGACACTCAAACCAACTAAAAGCCGCCACATAAATCTATATCCGAATAAAAAAAAATTCAAAAGAACATACGAACAAGCCATTGATGTACAGATAAAAAGAAACAAATACAGTGAGAACATTTCCAATTGTTAATACCAGTGGTAAGCCGCGGTTCCAAAAAAAGACGAAAAATAATTACCTGGGATTAGCAAATCGACAGTACTTGAAGAAGATAAACGAGGAAGAGCCTCGAGTCGGCGTTCTGAAAACCCTAGAAGTGTAGAAGCGAGAAGAAGAGGGAGAGAAGGAGTGCAAAGTGCAAAGCTGGATTTGATATACAAAAACAAAAACAGCTTCATTTTTAAAATAGCAATTATTTCCAGGTAGTGTTATTACGCGGTAAGTTTCATTTTAGGCTTTCTGAGTCTGATCCGTTCAACCAATCAGAGTTGTAACTCAATTCAAGTCAAAGTCAGTGACGACGAGGATCGTGGGATGATCTGTCACGATCATTTTCAACCGTTGATTTCCAGAAAGTAATTCCATTTCCAAATGGTACAGTGAGACGGTCCTTATGGAAGCAAAAGTCAAATTTGAATGATGGAAAGACAACCTAGAGATTGTTTGGAACAGTAATCTACGCTACGGTTAGTTGAAAGTTACGAATTTTAATATATTTATAGATCACTACCACTATTATAGTATTATTGCTCTTTACCCCCCCAGCTAAATTACAATAAAGCCCCTCTTATATTTCTCCTCAACTCCATTGCCTTTAATAAATAAATAAATATATATATATATATAGCAAAATCAATTTATATTCCTAAATTTTTGGTTAAATTTTTCAAAAAATAAATAAATTGAAATATATGTATGGTATTTTTTAAATATGTACTCGATATATTTATTTATAACAATCTTAGTTTTATACTAATCTAGAGTCGCTATCATATGCATAACTAACTTATGTACGTAGAAATATTCATTTAAAGTTATTTAATTATTTTAGATGATAAAAAAAGATAATAAACTTTTAAAAAAAAAATCAAATAATAATAAAATAAAACATAATTTGGGCCCTAAAATTTTCCTAAGGTACGAAGGGGTGAGCTGCCACGCAACAGTAGATATGATATGGGCCCAATGTCACATGCCAACACCGCTGTCCAGTTGGCCCAGTCCAGATGGATAATAAAATAATTTTATTTTTATTATTTTGTTAGAATAATAATTTGTTTCTAAATAAAAATGTTTTTAGTTTTTCCCGAAAGGAAATTCATTTAAAAATAATAATATTAATAATTCATTTCAGGTGTTTTAGGGAAATCAATTAATAAATAAATAAATAAGGTTAAAAAATAAGGAAAATAAAAAATAAAAATAGTATATATTAAATATAGAAAAAAAATGTATTTGAGTAAGAAAATTTGTTGTATTTGAAAATTATATTTTGTGTGACAAATTCCCTTCTTTGCCCCTCCTCTCTTCAAGTAATCAACTAAACAAAATCAAACAGCAAACAAAATTAAATAATAAATAATATATATATAAGAAAATTGCAATAAAGGGAATTGTCTTCTTTCCATATCTCCCATTTTACCAATATTTGCATTTTCCATAACCTGAAAAATAAAATCAACATAAATACATGGAGAATAAATTAATTTAAAAATGAACGTTATCCGTCAAATTACTGTCACTACCCTATTCCCATTCCGTCCTGTAAACGTTATGGAGCATAGTGATTGTAGCTGAAAATTATAAACCGTCTCCTTTCAAGTTGGGGAGGTAATAAGGTCGGATATTTTTAAAGAGGATTTCTCGATCTTACAAATTCTCAATTCGCTTGTTTATTAAAATTAATATTTACATAGCGAATATAAATAAAACCTTTTAAATTTAGAATATTAAAAAATAGAGGGGCAAACTTGTAATTTAAAGACTTACTTGGATCCACCGTGGTTAGATCGCCCGTTTGCTGAAAATCGCAATCTGAATCGTTCCCGTCTATCGCTTGAAAGTACGCGTTCATGACGTAAGCAGCATGGGCTCGGACCGTATTGGGAAGAAAACACGGCCCATTTGCTTGAATCGGCCCACAATCAAAGCCCAGCCCACAAACGTAATCGATGTTTCTTTGCAAGGCCTCGGAGTCGGCCTCAGTTTTGGGCAGGCACCATCTTTTACCATCAGCCACTGGGCTTGGGCTTGGGCCTTTTGGTGTGGGTTCTGGGCCGTGATGGGCTCTCGGTGTAGACGACTGGGCCTGTTAGATCCAAGTCGACAACAAACCAATCAACCAACATGTAACGATCATGATTATCAAAAACGTTTTAGGATGGATTCGGGCTGTGGCAGCTACCGTGGGCCGGAGAATCCCAATCTCATAAACCGGATTCAGATCCGGTTCAAAAAGCCCAAAGTTTCTCTCACCGACTGGACCGGGCTTCAGATCTTCGTTAAACAGAGCGAAAATGTACGTTTCGAAGGTCCGGTTCGGCATTAGCGGCGTGCCCACCCCTGATACGACATGTCGCAAGAGATTCCCGTTGTAATCGGCGGCTTCTTTTGGGCCAACACCAATTTGGGCCGGGTCACCCTTAGAGGGCCAGCCTGTTTCGGCAATAACAATGTCCAGATCCGCAAAGCCCAAGCTTTTCATGGCGGAATAAACAGCGTCCAATTGAGCGTCCAACATGTTGGTGTATAAAATCCCTGAATCTGAATCGTACACGCCAGGGTTTGGCCGGAAGAGCGCGTAATCTAGGGTTTCGGCGGTAGTGCCGAAGAATGGGTATGGATTCACCATTAGCGGCGAGTTTGTTTCTTTCAGGAAGCTCAGCATCGGCTTTATTACGTGCGTGTCGTAGCCTTGCCGGAATCTTGCAGTGGACGGCGGGCTTGAGTTCGACAAGATTCCGAGTGAATGTGGCGTCGAGACTTGAATCCGGCTGTTCAATGAGGCTTCGGAGAGGGCTGTGTGGAGGCTCTGCATCGCCGGGACGAGATTCGCGATGAGCATTTTGTTGGCGGTGGACAAGACTTCGTTGCCGACTAGAATGCGTATGATGTCAGTGGCAGGTACGTAGGGTTGGACGTTGAATTTGATCCATTCTTCTGCGAAATTTGGCTTTACTAAGCGGGGGATTTGATCATTGGGGACTGTGATGGTTACTGAGATGCGCGTATGAGCGAAAGCTCTTAAGATGTCCGGATTGGCATCGAACAGTCTGATGCGGCCGATAATGGTGGAATCCAAGAGGAATTCCGCAACCTTAGACGGCAGAGGGAGGTTGTCAGCCAACGTGCCGTAATTGACTCCGATGGATCCACCTTTAGCTGATGAACAAATGAAAGGTAATTGAAATTGGGAAGCTGAGATAACAATGAACAGACAGATAATCACATAATACCGTGTGCCATTTAATTACCTTGCATTTGGAGGAGTGTAGGGAGAAGAAGAAGAAGCAAAGTCACAGCAATTGAAGTGTAAGCACGAAGAAGGCGCGAGAGAGCGAAAGAGGAAGCCATTGGTGAAGAAAGCGAGAAGAGTGAATTGAGGGTGGCATTGGCCATTGCTGAAGAAGTAACATTTTGATGCTTTGCTTTGCGATTGGGGAGAATCGTATGTTCTTGGTAATACATTTCAAGCTTGTTTTTCTTAGAGAGCTTTATTTGCTTTTGAATCTGTTCTCTATTAATTTCTCTTTTTTTTTCTTCCCCTTTTAGTAATAAATGACAAAATCTGTGCTTGTTTTGATGTGTTCAAGTATATTAATATTAGGGTTTTTTTTTAAAATGTTTGATTGATAGAATAAGTGATGGTTTTATGCAAATTTTTCCCCCAAATATAATCAATCTTGCCTTTTTCTACAAGCAAAAGAAATAGCCTTTTCTTGTCAGTGTGGAGAAGGAACCTGACGAACAGTTGCTACAAGTTTGATTAGTTAATTAATTATTGAAAAGTATGATTATGGTTTTTACTAATACCTTTTATTCATATAAACTTCATACCACTGCTAGCTAATATACCTTCTTAAGTGGTCAATTTCTTCGAACATGGAAATTTTTTTATTGCTGTCAGTTCATGCTTTCTTCATAAATATTTTTTTATACTGGTTGGTGAAAAGCATAAAGATGGGATTGCGCCTGTAGAAAATAAAAAAAAATTAGGTTGAACATCTGGCCACGTAGAAGCCCATGTAGAATGTCATGAAGCGATCAAGAGGACACTATATGACAGGTCCATCTAGCCACTCGAAAGTTAATATAGAAGAATGTCATGAAGCAATCAGGAGGACATCATATGACATATCCACTCGAAAGTCAATATAAAAGAATGTCATGAATCAATCAGGAGGACACCATATGATATGTTGTCCCTCGAAAGTCAATATAGAAGAATGTCATGAATCAATCCGGAGGACACCATATGATATGTCCATCTGGCCCCTCGAAAGTCAGTATATAAGAATGTCATGAAGCGATGAGGAGGACATCATATAACATGTCCTTTAAAGAGGAGATGAGAAGACATAATTAAGGGCAACAAGTAGAGAGTCAAGTACGTCCATATGAAATATGAATTTAGTGTCAATTGGACATGAGGTAGACACCATGATACCATATATTTGTTTATCAAAATCATGTCTACACTCTCCAATTTGGAGATTTGATTAGTTGTCTGATTCTTCTTGTCGGAGTTATATGCTATCAAAACCGTTAAAGTTTTTGAATGAAATTGCATCAATTGCACTCATTCCATCGAGTTGGAGAAGTGAAAGGAGCTTCTTATCCAAACACGGGCAATTACTGTCTCATCACGTCACTTAAGAGTTGTTGGACCAATATTCACTAATAAGTCTTATGATCATCCACGTACAAAATTGAAGATTGGGAATAACAAATCTTTCTAAGATTCTTAACCATAAGAAGCCAAAATCTTGAAGATTTTAGAATAAAGTCCTAAAAATCAAAGTTGAAGATCTAAGAAAGAAAAATTAGGGGAAGGAAGGAACAAAATTGAAGGTTTGGATGAAACGAAGAAAGGGGAAAATGTAAGTTAAATTAAAAATTAGAAATTAGAGGATGATTAGCGGCAGATTAATTTTGTCCTATAGGTAAGATCATGAAGCTTTGAATTGGTCTTCTTAATCTAATTTTAGGAAGTTTAAATTGAAATTGAAACGAAGAATTTGAAAGGCTCTTGACGATCATTCTCCTCTGTCTTCGCTGATTTTCTCTCCGTGTTTTTACCGAACATCCAAGGCAGGTTACAACAAATCCGCCATAGCCATGGAGAATCAGAGCAGCGCCTGTCTGTCCTACGAGAAGCTTAACGGCGTCGCCACCTGGCTCGGCACCAGCGTCGCCTCCGCCTTCTTCGCCTCTCTCGAGCGCTGTTCCTGCATCAATCTCTCAACCTCCGACGACCACGAAGATCTCGATGAGGCTCACGATCGCCCTCTCATGTACTGCACATCCACTTCTTCCTCCGTCATTCGCAGCTTCGAACCGCTTCCTCCGCCGGTCAATGACGTTGCCAATCTCCCCGTCTGAGCGTCGTTCTCCATGGATCTGAGGTCGATTTCAAATTAGGTTTTCTTCAGATTTGTGGCGGGATCCGATTGTTTTATTTTCTTCTCTTTTTTTAATCTTCTTTTTTGTTCTATGTGTTCCTTTTCCTTTTTCTATCCCTTTCCCTTGCTCGCTCTGGGATTGAGGATTATGCGTTGAATTTCTTTTCTTCGTTTGTTCATATCTTTCTTTTCTGTGAATTACAACTGGAATGATATAATAAAAACAATTACCAGAAACAACTCGGTTCTTGCTGATTCTGATCGGTATTGGAAGATTCATCATTCAAAATTAGGTCATAATCGCCTAATCCATAAATCTGATCGGTTTTGACATTTTCTTTCTTGATTGTCTGATAATTCTTGGATGAACCCAAATTGATTTAGGATCAAGATGAATGATGAATGATGAACGAGGACCGAACATCATGGTGTTGCTAACCATTGGATGGCATGAAAAGCCACCAATTCCCCGAGATTCCGCTCGGTGGTGATATAATAAGAGAAATAAATTCCATTTTTCTATTGAAATTGTACAGATCTGAGCTTTCTTGCTGCCATTTTTGTTTATAAAAACTAGAAAGGCATGCAGTAGTGGAGAGATTTCTGACCTTTCTGCCTTTTTTCTTCATCTTGGTTGCTTGTCATAATGCAGTGAATGATATGAAGTGTCTATGAGTTTGATAGCATCTTCTGAAATGAACAGAGGCAGTTGTAAAGACAACATTCGTACTGTTTTGTCATTCATTTCATGATCTCAGACATAAACATCTCATCAAATGTTATTTTATGTCAATATGGTTGTCTGAATCGGAATATTATATTTGATGAGAAAAGAAGAAAGGGATCTTCTTATCCTCCAAACTCCATCCACAAAAGGAAACAAGTGGCCAAACAAAAATAGACTAGATTTGTGAGATTCAAGTCAATTGGAGAGAGAAGCGAGTCCGGGCGCGCTGATGGGAGATTGTGAGATCTCACTTGGGAGAAAGGAACAAAACATCCTTTATAAGAGTGTAGAAACCTCTCCCTATATTGCCCCGAAGGGGTGGATAATAATGTAAAAATCTCTTATCAAACACATTATCTGCTAGCCATGTACTCGAGTCTTTGGAATTGATGATGCTACATGTTTCTTTGTCCCGATCTTTTGGATGATGTTACATGTTTCTTTGTCTCGTTCTCTGGGATTTGGTATTTAGATCTTTGAGGCATAGTTTTTCATTTATCAGTACAAGCTAATTGATTCTAATCATTTAACCTTCTGATGCAGAGCAGGAACATGGGCACACACAGCTTGTTACCAGAAAGCTTTCACAGAAAAGGCAGAAGACAGCAGCAGAAGAACAAGTAAACTGCAAATATGCACTTTTTATTCACTATTTAAATAGCACATCCAATGTAGAAAGAATATTTGGGTATCTCTTTTTTTCTTTGTGTTCATCTTGTAATCAGTTGGTTTCTTAACTGTAAACTCCTGAAGTAAATGAACAAGTTATTCAAATATATGATCAAATCTCTTTCATAGTTTCCTGTCTCAAATGGTATGAATTTGTTGGAATTATGTTTCCCTCGCGGGGCGAGAGATGAGTTTATAACTTTAAATCTCAATCTGTTTGAACTTTCAATTCTATAATGACTTCCATAGAACAGTTTTTAGGCGGGGGAGGGAAGGTGGAAGCCTGTACAGAGTTTGTATTTACAACAGATGCTAAGTAGCTTAGCTTAAGCTCGTAACACCGTGATCAGCGTTGTCAAATGAAATAAGTGAGAATAATACAACCTATAAACTCTGTTAGCAAAAGGGGTTGGTGCAGACTGTCAGTGTAATGATACAGCAAGCAAGCAAGAGCATGCAGCAAGAAGCAAACAAAAAAAACTTTTTCCTTGCATTTCAAGATCAGCCTGGAAGGTTAAGTCTCATCAGATGAAAACGACGACTTTGTTGCCCCACACTCAAATCCTCATGTCTCTCGTCGTTGTCGTCTTGATACGAAGCCGAAAGAGAAATGGTCAAAAATATCAAATCATTTTTAAAAAATGGCCCACAAGATATACCAATTTTCCTTCAATGAATACAGGCCACCAATCTTGATTTCCCTGACCGTGTTAGAGCAGAAAAGGCGCGAGGTATGAGGTCCTCCAAGCCCCTGCAGCAACCTGCACAGTCGAGACAACACCTCGTATCAGCATCGTTTCCTCATTACATGAACGACTTGACATGTTCGATACGGGCCAGCAGTATTCAAATCACAACATCATGAAGTCTATTAGGTAAGCTAACCTTGGCCACTAGCTGATTTGAAGTTGTTCCTCCATAGAGAAGCTTGTTTCGTCGTAGTTGTTTCAATAAGCTGGCCCTAGAGTATAAGAAAATATATAGAGATAGCTTGAGGAAACTCCAAAAATGATAACATATCAGCCATCAGCATGTATGATTGTGTTTATTGCAGTGGGGGTGATAACATGTGTTGATCATCTAAAATGATATCAGGCTTGCATCATAAGCTTATACTCAGCCGGGAGGCACTAACATGTGAAAAACCAAAACCAGAAGGAAATCACTTCATATTTTGGGAACATCCTTAAATTTCAGACGTGTACAGGTAACCCGTAGTTGTGAAACGACCTGATTCGTCCATCCCATCCTGCAGTCACGATGACCAGACCCCATGCGTGAGAACTCGATGTATTTTGGCAAGACAATTTCAGAAATTTATACCGAGATTTATGCATCATAGATGGTTTCATTCGTAGGCTCGAAGCGTGGAGCTTCTCCTCGGGCCAAGTTGCAGATCCCTTGGGGAAGGATTCTAATAACTCTTGCCTCAAAGAGAAAAAAGCCGGGGACGAAAGCGGGAAAGTGTCAGAAGAACTCCTTCGCGTGCCAGAAAAACGTCTTTCGTCGTCTGTGTTACTTATCAAACCACACCACGGTACTGCAATGGAACCATTGGAGGGGAAATATTCATACGACTTGATCTTCTTCACCGGGGAAAGAATAGACTCGTTCTTATAACTGCAGTTCCATACATATACATTAGAATCGCCACTAGCCGATATAATATGTTTCCCGTCTGAGGTGAACGACGCAGACATCTGGTTTCCGGTATTACAAGGCCCTGAACGGAAAGGACGAAACTTGCTTATGAGCAGACAGGAAGACAGGATACAACGAACAAGACCAATAACAAACAAGGATATACAGGTGCATACCCTTGTATTTCTGGATCACATGAAGCCCTTGAACAATCCGGATTCGAGAATCAGCAGAGCTGACCATTATTCTGCTCGAATCGTTTGCAGAATACTGCGGCCCAAGAGAAAAGGCATAAGAATGCATAAAAAATATTAGCATACCGAACGAGAACGACAAGAAACGAGAACATAAATATATCTTAATGTGAATAAGAACATTAATAGAAAGAAGAACTACCTGAAACCCTGTTATCTTTTTACTGGGCGACTTCTTCTTACTCGACAAACATATTTCGGCATCTAATTCCAGGTTATTATCACCTAACCAAAAGAAGTCGAGTGTTTAACATATTCAGCTCATAACAAGAGCGTTCAGGGAAGTAATTTAGTATAAGAAACGAACCTATTACTCTAAAGATGCGGCAGGTACCGTTTATGGAGCCAACGACTCCTCTCTACATGATGAGATCGAAATGCCATTAACATCTAAGTAAACCACCAAATTTCTACATAAACATAATGAAAGAGTGAAACGAGAACACACCCGCCCATTAGGATGATAGGACACTGCAGTGACAATTTCCCTAATGTCGATCCAGTCAACAACTTGAGAAGAAGGAATCCCCCAAATGCGTATCTTTCCATCTATTGAACCACTGATAAAGTAATTTTCATCCATGGGATTAAAATGAACACAAGTAACTGCAGCCAACATGGAGACGAACCGTGAGGGGGCTGCCCGTTAAGAATTTGCAACTAATTTAAGAGTAGAACGGAATTCCAAACTCACCGTAGTTACTATGTGAAAAAACTCTGAGACAATCATTAGATCCCAATCGCCAAAGTCGGACAGTTTTATCGATTGATGATGACAGAAGATACTGCACACGAGGAAACAACAAATACTTAATATGATTACTATAACAGCTCAAACCCACCATTAGTAGTTATTGTCCGCTTTAGCCCGTTACGTATCGACGTCAAACTCACGGTTTTAAAACGAGGTTTCCACATCCTTATGAGAAATGTTTCGTTCCCCTCTCCAACTGATGTGGGATCTCACAATCTACCCCTTGAGAGCCCAGTATCCTCGCTGACACACCGCCCGGTGGCTGGCTCTGATACCATTTGTAATAGCCCAATCCCACTGCTACCAGATATTGTCCACTTCAGCCCGATATGTATTGCCGTCAGCCTCATGGTTATAAAACACATCTATTAGGAGGAGGTTTCCATATCCTTATAAGGAATGTTTCGTTGCTCTCTCCAACCGATGTGGGATCTCACAATTAATAAAGCATAAGCATGATTTAGTTTCTAGGAAATTCATAGAACTAATACTTACATTGTTTTTTGACCAAGAGAGATCCAGAATGTCGCCGGTATGTCCATGGAACTCGTGCAATGGCCGCTCCAATATCCTGAAGATTTTAGGTGGAAAAATTATACAAGCTGATTCTGATGTTTTCTTCAAGGCCATCGAGTTAGCTATCTTTTCTTTCTCCGAACGCAGGGGTTTCAACTCAGAAAGGTGATTAACTGTGAAGTAAATGCAGGATGGATCGATCTCGGGAATGTCGGATTCATTCAATCTCTCATCTTCAATCACTTGCCATAATTTAACAATCCCATCATCACCACCAGTAGCGAGAAACCGTCCACTAGGACTAAACTTCATCGTCAAAACAGCACCTTGATGTGCCTGGATATCTTGTCCCATATACATAGCTGAGAGTTCTTTCAATTGCTTCTTGCAATGGCGAACCTTCATCCTCGGAACTCTCGACCCTGTACTCAAATCACCATCAACTACCAATCTTGACTTACCATGCTTATCGAAAATGCAGGCTGCCGATCGTAATTTCTTAAGCCAACGCTTGTTGACTCTTCGTTCTGTACTCAACGGAATGTTCGCCCTCTCAGCCTCCATCTCCATCATTTGTTGGAAAGACGGCGAAGAATTCGATGCCTCCTCGAGCTTTTCAGGCAATGCAAACCGAACAGATTTTTTTAGATCCCCAATTTTCCTGCCACATTCTCCATGAATCCCACCATCCCTATACAGAATGCTATTCTTTGAAGCCATCTCTGAATGTTCAAGATCATCATTAGACCAACACGACAACGAAGATCGACCCGAGCAAAACACATCTTCAAACTCTGAGGATTCAGCCCCAGAATTATCCCTCCATCTTTCTCCATCCCCTTCTCTCCAATCAAGACAAACAGTGAGAGAATTCCCATTAGCGAGAGGAGCTCGATCTAATCCCATTCCCATCCATTTCAAAAACTTACTTCGACGCTCATGAACACTCATAGGGCTTCGATTCCATACATCATAACCCAAACTCCCATCGACCCAATTGTTAAATCTGGGACGAGAATCAAAGCCCGCCTCAATACCATCGAAATTGGCTTCCGATATCGAGGGAACATTGATATCTGGCGCATCAAAAAACGGGCATTCTTCATCCTCGCTAACGCTACCCATTATTCCGCACAGTTCAACCCATGAAATCCCCTCAAGAACACGGCATTATATGCGGAAGAGAAATGTGCGAGAAAAAAACGAATACCCCCACTACACAACAATCCAAAAAAGGAAAAGGAAAAAGAAAATTACAAAAAAGGGGGAAAACGCAGATCAGTTTAACCGAAACAAAAAACTTATTAAATTAAAACGATCAAACATGGATCCCAATTGTTTAAGCAAAAACAAAACAACAAAACAAAAATCGTGGGAAATGAAATTGTGAAGTAGAGACAGAAGAAATCAGGCAGCCATTAATGAGTTAACAAACAGAATCAGTCCAATATCCAGAAACCAAAATTGAAAGATCACAAGCGATAGAGAAACGAAAATGAAGAACAGAACAGAAAACAAAACAAAACAAAAAATGGAAAACGATTCGAAACAGGATTCTTACATGGGGACGAAGGGTTTCCTTTGAATGATGAGATCTCTTAGAAACTGAGGAGGGCGGAGATCGAAGCATCCATCAAAATTTGGAGCTCCTTTTACAACTCTCTCTCTCTCTCTCTCTCTCTCTAAATCTCTCCAGAGCAGAGAAGGGGGGCAGTACAAGAGAAGCTTTAATAATTTTATAAAAAGAAAAAGGAATTCAATGGAATTTTGAAGAATTAAAACAACAAAAACTTGAAAAAAAAAAAAAAAAAAAAAAAAAAAAAAAAAAAAAAAAAAAAAAAAAAAAAAAAAAANAAAAAAAAAAAAAAAAAAAGGAAGAAGAAGGGTTAAAAGAGGAAACAAAAAAATTAGTTCCTCGATATTCGTGGTTTCATGGACCGCTAAACCACATTCCAAGGCTT